ATGGAATTGCAAACAAACCTGATGATAGACGACGGAATCAGTTGGACAAGTCACATAGTGAGCCCATGGAGACAATTTATGCTCGAGCTTTCCGTCTTTGGTCACGGCAATCTAATCCAAAATGAAATCGTTTTACAGAAAATTACCAACTTTAATGACACTTCCATGTTTGATCAGACAAGACCCATCATCAGTTGGTGGAATATTCAGCGTCCATCGGCCGTATTCACCACGTACATACTCGTGAGCCTTTAGGTCCCAATTATCTAAACTTTCGTTAAATTTTAACAAGGAAAAACAATGAACTCACTAAATTCCCCAACAAGAGCAAGACCATCCGCCCCAGGTGCCCATTCCAGGCATTTGATACTGTTGTCCGGCTAATCGTTTACATTTTCAATACAAACTAACAAAATAAAAATACCTGCACAATCATGCCAAACTCTTTGTAACCTTGTGTAAAGGCTTCCCAGCCTCCACATTCATCGATACGTTTCTCAAAATCCTTGAACACTCCATAGCGTCGTTCAATTTCACCCCTAAAACGTTCTATACCTTTGAGAACTGATAAAAACAAACCTGAAAGGTGTCAAATAGCCGTCGACTTTAAATAGTTCATCTATCTTCGGCGGGGAAACCATTTTCCTGAAGATTTTGCTGTAGTTAATTGAAAGAAAAGTTTAAAATAAGGTAAAGGTTCGTAGGACAGAATCAAAACAAAACTTGTTTATCACAACACTTTTCCCGTTTGTCTTGGATTCAATCGGAGTCTACGTTCTCTCAAATTTAGCGTTCTCTAGCTCGTTAAAAGGCAAACATGTTCTATGAAAGAAAATGGGCTTATCGTTTTTTCTCAAACTAAAAGATGAGAGAGAAAGTAGCCCTTTTGATGGATAGACAGAAAATATTGGGATTTTCGTGGTGGTGAAGCTCGTTTGTATGATAAAAAGTAAAAAAAGAAGTTTAAATCCTTTTATTGGAGTTTAAAATACTCAAGCAATGGACAGAATATCTGAAGATTAGTTTTATTTTGAGTTTATTCAACTGGGAACGGCTCCTTTTCTCACAGAGTTGAATTTTTAGTCTCCATTAAAGAAATTCAAGTAATGTGTGACTAAAAATAGCAAGAGCTGGTTGATAATTAAAATAAACACTTTAAACAAAATCGTTGCACAGTGGAGTTACGCAAAAACGGATGCGTTTGTGGGGATGCGAAACAACATTGTTGACTTGATTGGCAGGGCCGCGCGAACGCAGTCCCTCACGCAAAAATTTAGCTGTTAGCGAACCCCAACTCGGAGCTGCCACACAGGTCAACACAGTCAAAAGTGCAATGACCATGTCTCACCATGGGGGTCCCGTCTTGATGATCACGAGAAACCCCCCAGCCAGGTAAGTTTATGAGGGGGTCAAGGGAGGGGGTTAACCAATAGTCTTGCGCCAAATCGAGAGCGATTACGCTGGCGCACAAAGAACATCTGCAAGGAAAACTGAAAAGTCCACCCTTTCACTTTCCATTTGGAGAAGACCCACTAAAAATCACACATTATCAGTGATTACGCGGCCGCGCAAAACTCGCCAGTCATTCACACAGGGACAAATCGAGATTTACGTTTTTTTAATGTTTTATGATGTCAACTATCCTTTTGTCTCTCCAACTCTCTCTCGTGTCTAGTGCAAAATGATACTCGGCTTTTTTTAATGTTCATGATTTTTGTGATTTGACGTGGCTTACTAGGCTAATAAAGTTAGTGAAGAAAAATATGTAAAAAATGACACAAAAAATAAACGCTTCAAGGGTACAATAGGTGAATGTAGTTTTGTGTCACAAAATTCACGAAAAGTCAAAGTGTTTAATAACAACCAATGAGTAAAAATTACTTAAAAGTGGATCCTTTGACTCACCGAGTTACGTAGAAAAACAACCAAGTTTAGGGCAATAAATTGATCGCAAAAATAAAAAATGACGCCCAAAACTGATTCTGTTTACGAAGAATCTCGGAAATACGAAAATAGTGGCATTGGATGGAAGAGGATCATGGAACGATCTCATAGTGTAATTTTGAAATTAGATTGACAGGGCCGCGCGAACGCAGCCCCTCACGCAAAAATTTAGCTGTTAGCGAACCCCAACTCGGAGCTGCCACACAGGTCAACACAGTCAAAAGTGCAATGACCATGTCTCACCATGGGGGTCCCGTCTTGTTGATCACGAGAAACCCCCCAGCCAGGTAAGTTTATGAGAAGGCGATTGGCGTGACATAAGGAAGACCCCTTTGCCAGATTGCACGCCTTTACACGAGGCAACAAAGAACGCACAACGAGAGAGCAAAGACGCAGAGGGAGAAAACACGCTTTCGAAAGAAAACAGCAAAAATTCTTGTGGAGAGAAAATAGAAAAAATAAGTTGAAATAAAGCTACCGTAATCTTTAGAGAAACAACTGAATAGCCTTTGCTAACTTTTTCAAAACGCTTCAGAGCTCATGCGGATACGATAGCTACAATAATTAGCATTCATACGGTATTGCCGTAACCACCTTGTTCACTTTTTCGTATAGATTCTCACAAAGATGTCGGTCTAACCAATTTTAGAGGTATTTCCAACGATGATGTGTCATTTTTAGTGGGTCTTCTCCAACTGGAAAGTAAAAAAGTGATGTCTTTCCCGTTTTCTTTTCCCATCCAACCACATCCACCCTCGCAAAAAGATCTCCGCTGTGTGACTGGATTACAGACGATCATGCTACCTAATGTCAACACTACTCAACCATCTTTCTTTTCTCGAATCTTTTCCATTTAAACAATTCACTTATTTTATGTACGTTATGAATTTCGGTACTTTTTGACTATACCCCCGCCACTTCCCTATTTCGGTTATGCCCAGTCAATTAGCACATAATGATATGAAAGATTCATCGGAACCTTTTGACAGAATTGTTGAGTTGGCAAGATTGAAGTTGAAGCTCGATGATCGTCTCTGATTCAATCTCGGGAAGAGAAAACCTGACCGAATAATGTGAGCAATAAATAGAAAATAAATGAGACTAAGCAGCATTTGAATTTCAAAAGTTTTGTATATTAATAGATCATTATATGCTAATTGACTCATTATATGCTAATTGACTGGTTATACGCCAGATCATTATATGATCTGGCGTATAATCGAATAGTGCCCAAATTTTATAAAAACAATTCTTTTTTGAATCATCATCATTGCTGATTTGTCCTTATACGCTTAATGAGAATTCCCGATCATTCCAAATCAATATAAGAATTTCTCCAAACTCAACGTTAGTTGTTATTTCAGATACAATTCAATGAGGATATTCATTTTGATCTGTTTGTTTTTATTCTTGATTTCATTATTGGATGTGGTAGAAGGAAAAACAAAGAAGCGCGGAAAGCGGAAGATCAAAGGGAAAGATCAAGATAAGGCAAGGAAAGAGAAAACAAAAGAGGAAAAAAGGAGTGCGTGGGCGCCTGGATCTAATGTGAGTTTAGATAATATTTTTTATTGTAAGTGAGTTGAAATTGAACACTAAACGATATGTTTTGAGAATAATGTAGAGAATAAAAATTCGTTATCTGCAGTAACCCGATAATCTAACATCTATTTGATAAATTTGAAAAACTTTTCAGCTTGATTGTGAACGTGATTGCGATTGTCCCAAGGGATCAGGCGAGATTTGCATTTGGAAAAAGTGCATCGATCCACCAACTTTGGAACATTTTGAGTTGTAAAATTTGTGTTTTCACCTTATTTTTGGGTGTTAACTGGGTATTAACTTTTTGTGTGTACTCTCGTGATAAAGAATTTATCGAATTTCATTTATAAAGTTGAAGATGAAAGGCATTAAAAGACAAAAATTAAAATATTCCTACAACGGAGCATTGGACATTTTTACTTCGTAAAGAAAAATTGAATGTTTTTTCAAGCGTCACTGATTCAAGAGCCCGTTTCCAAATTCGATTCGTTTCCAAAGCCATATTTACCCATCATTATACGTTTTGTAGTTCGTTTGTTCTATATTCCGTCTCTAATAGTAGGCAACCCTTTTGCAGATTGAACATTCTACGGAAAATTGTTTGCTTTCGAAAAACCGGAGATGAAAACTTAACCGGAGATGGCGCAAGTCTAGAAAACGAGTGATCTTTTTCTGCCTGATCTTCAAATACATTCAATTTTCTTACTTTCGCTTTCAAATACTATTTGTATTATTTGAAAATACTATTTGAAAGCGATCTAGCACCAGAACAACAAAGCCATTTCTCAAAAAAACTTAAAAAATACGAGATTTTGATAAAACATTAAACTTCCGTAAGGCTTTCATATTAATTTTTCTTATTGTTTTTTTTAAAATTAATAGCAACGCGTTGGAAAATGATGCGAAACGTGCTTGCCAATTTTATTTACTGAGTTTTATATGTAAATTTAGAGATTCTGTTAAATCAAAGTTAAATCAAAGCTAATTTGAATCAAAGTTACTGTATTCTTGTGCGTGCACTGTAAGCCTCCTCAACAAGATTTCCATTTTTATGACAATACGAAAATTCTCTTCTTGACAAAAAGCGTTGCATCACAATGCGAATTAATTTTTGATAAGTGAAATGACCCGAGAGAACTCAAGGAGAATGCAAATACAGAAAATAAAGGAAAATCTGATTTGAAAGACTCTTGGCAAGAAAAGATTTCACTGGGATCACTTAAAAAGGTTTCGAGATGAAATTCTAACTAATGCAGAGTTGAAATTGAGTTTGAATGCTTTACATAGCTTTAAGATCAAAAATTTTATTGTTCGGCGCTGCTGCTCGTTTCGGCTCGTTATGTCATCTCGTCTCCGTCTCGCTGCAGTAACCCGTGATATAAATTAACTACCATCTGGTATACTGTAGCAAGAGCACCCTACTACGGTAGTTTTCTAAAATAGGTGTCTTTTAGAGAACGCGCTATAACTGCTTTTCTAGGTGTGATTCCCATGAGAGCATCTCCGTTCATTGTATGCCCATGCGGGTGGAGGAGGGCGATCCATTCTTCCCCAGTCATTATCCAAATGGAGAACCAAGGTGCGGTATTTATTGTTGGATAAATATATCTCATTAGTAGTACTGTAATATTCATAAGCTTATTGATTTTATGTATCTTTTCTTTGAGATGTCTCCCCTTTGCCCGGTCACTGCTCGGTCAGCTCAACCTTGGCGATCGTCGGCAAATGAATCAGGTAAAATAATCAAGTGGATAAAAATCAAGCTTTTTATCAAAAACTTATCTATCTAAACTCTGAGTACCGTATTTTCTTTAGCTAACAGCTTACATTGACGTCTCGGTGATTTATGGATCGACGAAAGCGTTGAGGACATTCCATGGTGGATTGCTCAATTTCACCGATTCCCTTCAACATGGAGTACTGCTACACATTTATTAGGTTGAGTTTAGTACTACACTTAGTGTGTTGGAGTCTAACTTTAAACATTAACTTTCAAATAAATTACTTCATCATAATAAATTCTCCAGTTCGCTTTATTTTGAAGCCCTATTAATTTTATACAAAGTGACTCTTTGAGAAATTGAGAAAAGCTTTTCTTTTGCGCGCTTTCAGAGCCGAGAAGTTAATTGGCTGAAAAAGGCATCGGTTCGATAGTGTAATTTGGACACTTTCTTCAAGAGAAACCTACTTTGGTGTCAATAGAAAAGAGATAGAGCACAAAAAGTTGCACATATAGACAAAATTTCAGCTTGTTAGGTTTAATCGAACTCGTTGTATGATTAGACGAAGAATTTCGAAAAAAAAAAAGATTTCCGCTCAGTTTTGCTATAAAATGAGCTCAAATTTGCTTTAAAAGAGTACAAAAGAAAACGAAAATCGTTTCAATGGAGCAAACCGCAAAACAGGGTTATTGGACATTTGATACGCGCCCCGCCCCTTTTGCCATTAAAAATCTAACTTTGAGCTCAAATATCTTGGGGTTGAGCCGGGAAAATTTGATGGATTTGCAAGAGGAACAAGCAGCACGGCTGAGAGAAGGAGGATTCAACATGAAATCGAAGAAAAGGCAAAGCAGATCCCCGGGCCGTTGACGCTTCTTGGAGCCACGATGACAAATTGTAAGAGAGATTTAGAAAACGAGACTGTATCCATTTCAGTGCTCACATTGATCCCATTCCCATCGGAGAATCTGGCTACATCATCGATTGCTCGGATTTGCAAACCGCATGAAATGGAGGTAGTTGGAAGCAAAAAAACATTGGGTAAAGTAATTTCAGGTCCTGAAAAGCACGGATCCAATTTTGGTGAGTCAGATCTGCGAAGCGTTGGCCGCATTTAATGAGATGTGAGTTTTGGCTGTTCTTTTGAGTGCAAAGTTTTCCAAAAGGCTAAAAATTACAAAGCTACCGTAACCTTTTTCTGGAAAACTAAACCAGCCTCATTTATTCTTTGAATTCTAGAGTTAAATCTTCAACGGCAGCCCGATTACGGTAACTTTTCTATAGAAAGCATTGATATCTGACAATGAATGCTTGAATCTTTAATACCGTAATCACTTTAATTAAACGTTAGAAGACTAGTTATAGCTTCCTGCAGTATACCGAACAATAATATTTCCAGCGTCGAGTCGCACGCGTTTATCGTCGAAGATCAAATACTCGACGATGCGATGAACACCGATATCACCGGGCTTGTCGGTGCTGCTGAGGTGGTCACAGTTTGGCAAAATAGTTGATGTTATCCACAAAAACAAAGTCTAGATGTCAAATTTGGGAAGTCTAAAAGGCTAAAAATTGGGAAGTGGGACAATTGCGACCTTTTTGCCCATTATAACAAAGACTGCCCTAGACTATCCCAGTCCTTTAAAACCGCATGTCAATAGGAATCTAACTATTCAAAAAGTGAACAAGTGGGGCTAAAAACGATTCTGTGGGGCTAGAGCAGTCCTTGTTGTAATGGGCGAAAAGGTGCGCAAATGTCCTAGGTGCGCTAAAAAAAAGTCGCATTTGTCAAAATTTACAAAAACTTTCTTCTTTTAAAGGATCATTCTGAAAATGCGCTGAAAATTGAGATATTCAGTTAAATAGCTGATTTGCGATGCTTAATGTCTTTTTATCTTTTTACTATACTTCTGTACATTCCGAGTGAAAGTGCGCTCTCTCTTCTCCCACGTATCATCTAAAGGTTTTACCATAATATTTTTTGTAATTTCGACTTCTTTTTAAACCTAATAACCTTTTTTAACATAATTTCCACATTTCAGCCATCAACATCGAAATCGATTCGACGCCGCATAGAACCGCCTATAAGCCCACGAGCTACAAGCCATCTGAGCCGGTGCTTCATCCAAATCGGTAAGCTTTTGTTTAAACTTTAGATATTTTGAAAACTTTTTGTAACGATTTTCTTTCCAGGGATCAATCGACACTCCGCCGACAAATGGTATCGGTCGGGAAACAGCCAAAAGCCACGATTCAGCGGAAGAAGGTAATTGAGTTACTTCTGTGTAATTGTAATCTTTTTGAAAAGATTTTACTGTTATCATTTTAGGACATGGTGGGAGAGCTCTACGATTCGCTCACTGACTACTTTGATCCCACACAAGGCCGACGAACGCGACGAAGGGCCAATACTTTTGAAGAAGAACTCCAAGAAAAGGTTTGTTTTTGCAGCTCTTTGATAAACCATGTTATTTTTAGCGAGACATCGAACTTGTTCAACAATTGGAGTCTGAAGGTGGTCAACCGGAAGAAGACGTCGAAGAGGCCGCCGGTCCCAGCCAGTTGGTAGACGAGTTTGACGGGAAATTCTTTGACAAAAAGAAGAGCAAGAAACGAAAGCACGAAGAAATTGAGAGACCACCCACTCCGACCAAAGGTAAAACTTTGAGGTTTTTATGGTTTGCAATGATTTTTAGTTATCGAGCAACGTGAAATTGAGTGGAAGGAACGACAGAAGCAACGCCGCGACAAACAGCGGAAAAGACATTGTGGCGAAGACAGCGGCGATGAGAATTGGAGTCACGATGTATTATTTTCCATTATATGAACATCTAAATCAAACACTACAGGTGATGGCTGAACAAGCATCGCAAGAATGTTTCGAATCAACGATTGATGAAATTGTGATGGAAGTCGACATCGATCTTTTGAAGCAAAGCATGGGCAATGACGGTAGTTGAGCTTTCTTTGACGCTATGTAGAACATTTTCTAGAAGACGAAGATGGTGGTGAAGGCGATGGACAATTTTTGGTCGATACTTACAAGATGGAGATGATTCGCGTTGAGGCTCAGAAATTAAAGGAATGGCGAAGACTGAACAAAGTAAGTTAAATTTAAGTTACATTCCAAATTTCCTTTTAGATCAACATTGATCGTCTTGTGAAGTTAATCACCGTTTTGGAGCGAAACATCCGCGATGTGATTCCGAGAGAAGGAGAAGCACCGCTCGTTACTTTTCTTGAAGAGGCAGCTCTTGACATAGTAGTGATGTTTTTAAATCAATCTTTTAGGAAATCATGGATGAAGATGATCCAACAACTCGAGAATTCGTGGACGATAGACTTTTGCGTGCTGCATCAGCCGCGTGTACTGTATTGCTTGTGATGACTGGAGCAAAGATGCCAAAACAAGTAAAAAGTAAACAAAAGTATAAATCGAACTCTTTTTAGGTATTTATCGAAGACGCAATTGATCGTTCGATTCAACTTTGCAAGCAATACTTAAACCACATTGTTTTCCCTTCTTCTGATATAGTCTATCGCTCTCCAAACAAGCAGAAAAAGGTACCAGTAAACTAGCATTAACGTTTGCATCTTATTTTTAGACTGAAGAAAAGTCTCGTGGACGGCGAAAGCTTGATGGAAATAATCGAACACCGACTGCACAACGCATCTATCTTCATATGAATGGTCTCATTGGATGCTTTGCTGAATTGGTTCATTTTCCATGACTCTCTTAAGCCGGTTCATTTTAGATTCGCTTTCAAAGTCTATCGGATATGGCCGTCCATCAACTTTGCACGATTGCTGCGTCAACGTTTTTTGTTAACAACATTGGTGAAATGCAATGGCAGGTATGTGTGCAACGTGGAGTCTGATCTCAAAATTTATAGGCGATGCGTCTTCTTTCTAACATCTTCAATCGGTATAATGATCACATGCGTCACAACATTTTGCAAGATATTGTGAATTCTCTCCATCGCCTTCCGGTAGTTTATCCTTTAGATAGCTAAACATATCTTTTTCAGAGTGCGAAAACGTCGTCAAACAGTTTGCGCATTTCAAATGAAACGTGGTTGAATAACATGACGGTGCTGATCATGCAACTTGTTCAAGCAACTGTGCAGGTTTTTCTTATTTTAGTTCCGTAAATGATTTGAATTTAGATGCCTAAACGAAAAAAAAAAGATTCGGAGGAAAATGGAACAAGTGAAAAAGAAGAGCTTGAGGAAGCGGATCACTTGGTGAAATCGTCCTTTGAAAGTGCTTTTCGGGTTGCTGCTCTATTTCTTCAAGGATTTTTGCAAAAGTTTGTTTGATTCTTGTTCTAATTTACAACACATTTTAGATGCTGTTCGAAAGGTGAAGAGGATAATCGCCCGGTTTTTGAGGCTTTCCTTCAAGATTTGCTCAACGCTTTGCACAAACCTGAATGGCCTGCAGCTGGATTTCTTCTGTCTATTCTGGGAAATCTTCTTGTCGAACATTACAGGTAGTATAGCTGTGAAGATTTTGTTTGCAGTTACTTTTTAGAACCACAAAAGGAACGGATATCGCGCTTCGGACAGCTTCGCTTGAATATCTTGGATTGATCACAGCTAAATTGAAGAAGGATGTTCGTTCAGCTGAAGAAGATGCCCACCGACGTCTTGAGGTGGAGTCTTACTGATTCCACTTGCAAAATTATTTTAGATTGTTGTAAAGACTCTTGTATACGAAGAACTTGATGATCCTCCAGAAAATATCGCTGATGTGGATATTGAAAATGTACGTTGAAATGTATCATAACATTCTTTTAATTCTTGAATTTAGATAAGCATGACCGATAAGTTGAAGAAATTGGAACAATCATTGATCGACTACTTGTTACTGAGCCGAAACGATGCTAGCATTGAATATGCTGTCTCTTTCTACGGATGCTATTGGTACAAAGAAATTGCCGAAGATCTGGATAAGCTTCGACTCACCTATAAAGCTCAAAAGAAGAAGGCCGATGAATCAAATGAAAAGGTTTGTTGCTAATTAAAAAATCCTAAAATGTAAAAAATTTCCTAGGAGCTTCGCAAGATGGAAAAGAAAATGGAGAAACTGAACGAGAAAGCGCGAGCAATGAAAGACTACTTGATCAAGATTGTCGACAAGAGGCAAATGCGCAAAAGAATCGAGCACATCAAGAGAAACAACCAAAATGTGATGATGGAATCGGATGCGGCTTGGGCAGTGAAGTATTTGGCCAGCAGACGGGAATTGACGCAAACTGGATTTGAAAATTATCTCAAGCAGGTCGTTGTACTTTTGTTTCGCACTTTGCAACATCACATTTTAGATTCTTTATGGAGTCATCTCTGAACCAACGGTTTCGCTACGCACAAAAGCCATGAAATGTTTGACTCAAATCATCGAAGCCGACCACTCTGTGTTGGGAGTGGTATGTGGCTTTTATTTTTCATTTATTCTCTTGCTTTAGCCTGAAGTACAAAATGCCGTTCAAGCTCGAATGGTTGATCCGAATGCGCAGGTTTTCTGTTTCCTTTAATAATTTAATCGATTTTTTAGGTCCGTGAAGCAACGATCGAACTGCTTGGGAAATATCTTGTCTCTCGTCCTGATTTCATTCCAAAGTATTATCCAATTTTACTTGAAAGGATTAAGGTAGAGAATTGCTCTTTTTTGGACTAATCATTAAATTAGGATTCTGGAACTGCTGTGAGAAAGCGTGTGATTCGAATCATGCGGGAGTTAATCGAGAAGAATCCGAGCTTTGACAAGACATCCGAAATGCTGTCGAGAATTGTTCGTCGAATTGGTGATGAGGTATGTTGAAAAGCTTTATTTAAAAATAAAAGGCAACTAAGGAAGGAGTGAAGAAACTTGTGATCGAAACTTTCAACAGCTTGTGGTTCCAACCATTACGAGAACATGATCAAGAAGCACTTATCAAGAGGGTAATGATCATTACGGAAACGACGGAAATTTGTGCGGCTGAAGGAACTGTGGAGCAACTTGAACTGCTGCTCACAAATATCTTTAAGGTATGTTGTCAAACGATTCTATATTCAATTACAATTAAGACAAGCGACAAAGCAACGATTTTCGCCTGTCGCCAAATCGTCGATTGCCTCGTTGACAATGTCCTCGCGCTTGAAACAAGGATGGCAGCTGGTACGATAACTTTTCGATTATTTACCTGGGAATTGATCTTTAGATAATAGTTTGTCGGAAATCAATAAAATGAACGGTCAAGATGAGACACTTGCAAAAGCGCGCCGGGCAAAATCAAATCAAGATCGAATGTTGGCTTGTCTGACCGCTTTGAGTTTGTTTAGCAAGGTATGTTTTGAGCTACATATCTTTAGTAATCTTTATCTAGGTTCGTGCTGAATTGCTGGTCAAACATGCCGAAACTCTGCAGCCATATCTGAGTATGACTGTCAATACAGCAGCTGAAATCCAAGTTCTCAAACAGGTATGCTTATATAATTAATAGTTGGAGTTACACTTTTGTTTAGGTTATTGACATGTTGCGTCGAGTGATTCCGTTGATGTCACATCCATCCGATTCGTTTATTGATGGGCTCGAAGACTCATTTTCGCAACTATTGCTCGCGTTTGTTTGCGAAAACGATTTTTTTATAAATCTTTAATTTCAGCGGTAAAGTAACGATCATTGAATCTGCTGCTGAATGTGGTGGAGCTTTATACGAGAAATTTCCTAGACGACGCCCCAAGATGACGGATATCTTTTTGAAATTCTTGGGTTAGTTTTAAGCTTCTAAATCACAAATGAATTTGTTTTAGCTAATCTGAACAGCATGAAGAAAATGTTGGAACGAGCTCTGAAATCTCCAGTGCCAGAGGAAAGAGTTGCATTCATTTCGCGGTACTGTATTTACTAATTCATTCGATAGATCGATTGTTATAGGGGTATCTTTTGTCTTGGACTGTTGGCTCGGTACTTTGACTTGGATTTCGTCCTTGAAGAAGAGCCAGATACCGTTCAAAAATATGCCATTAAGCATGAATTGCCACCAAATCCTCTGAAAAGTGAGTCAACTTTAACTTAATGAGTCAATAATGTAAATGCAATTTAGATCATGCCACTGAGGATGATGAAAAACCGCGCGTGATTCGCGATAACGTCTTCGTTCTTTTGTGCTTCTTTTTGGGAGTTCCACAGGCAACAATTCAGAGGAATGCGCTTATAAGCTTGGGTAATTCGTTTTCTTTGTTTGATTCATGATTCGAAATAGGCCATCTATCTGCCCAATATGCTGAATATCTGATGAGACCAGAGATGCGATCAATGTACAATCGATTTCTGGGTAGGCAGGAACCAGAATTCTTGGCTGTAAAAGTTTTGGTATGTTAAAAGACATTTGATCTCTGAAATTCTGCTTTAGACACTCCAAAATCTTGAACGTTTCTTGATCAACGAAGAAAATCGTATGCAAAAGCACAACGAAGAATGTAAGTTTAAGTATAAGTAAAAGAGATGTATAAAGTTGCTTCCCTTAGGGCAAAAACGAAAAGAAACTGAGGATTTGAAAAAAATGGATCAAGCTGGCAGCGGTCTGGGATCAGCCGTAATTCAAGTGAGGGTCTAATTTGACGGAAACTGTTACATTTTCTTTAGCTTTATTGGAACGATGTGCTGAACTGCTATTTCAATCGTGAGAAAGAAGTACGAAACGCGGCTGTTCAGGTAAATTAAGCTATTCTATGTAAATATTCAAGAGTTTAGGTGACCTGGCGCACTTTGTCACAAGGATTGGTCACTCCTGGATCCTCAATTCCGACTCTGATTGCTATGATGACCGATCCGTTGCAAACAATTCGACATAAAGTGGAAAATCTTCTGAAAGAAATAGACACAAAGTATCAAGGAATGGTTCAGGTAGAAAATTTTCATAGTATTTCTGAAGAAGTTTATATTTATAGACAAAGGCCGTTTCTGGGATTCGTTTTGCTTTCCAATTACATTTAAAGGTGAATGGTGGTGATCGACGATTGTTACGAGGAATTCGATTGGTTGAGGACTCGGCAACGGCTAATACTGGTTTGGATTGTGACTAGGATAGTTAAATGATCTGCTTTAGCTCACAAAAAGACTTCAACGGATAAATGCGGTGTTCCACGTTACACGAATGATGGGCAAGCACTCCTCTCTGGGTTATATCAAGTGAGTGTCATTGCAAGTCTTTTTTAATAGTTTCTAGGCATTACGTGGTAATCGTCAACAGAGGAGAAGCCTTTTGCAATCAATTTTACGTCTATTCTCCGAAGACAGCAAAGAGGTAATGATTTTGCTTAAATGATGATAATGACAATGATAAGTCATTTAGAAACTTACGCTGCCTGAATTGATTTTTGTTAGTGATAATATCGCGATGTTCCCATATCAGGTTTTTATTTTTAATTGTAAATAATCTACTATTTTTTGTAGGTTATGGATGAACCTTTATATGTGATAAACGAAATCGATAAAATTGTTCCATTCTCTGGAGAAAGCATCATTGGACATTTCAAAGTTAGTTTTTATGAATATCCGAGCTTAAGAGTCATCTAGGCTTCTCTTTTACCAAAATCGGGGTCACCTGGACAACCAGGCAAAGACGACGTTGAATTCGAGCCGGATGCCATTTATCGTAAGTTCAGTGGTTTGAACAATTAAGACTCATGTTTAGGCCGCTTGCCCAACGATAAAACCCATCTCTTTGAATTGATGAACAATTCGCAGGCTTGTTTCATCCTGCTCTACCTCAAAACCTTCCTCATGAAGCTGTATGGTTTCACAGAAGCGTAAGTTTTATCATTTTTACTTATGGCAATGTTATTTTAGAAAAGTGCAAGAATATTCTCCAACAGACGGAGCCAAACTCTACGAGAAGGCAATCGGTCGTAAGAATGTGCACATGTTCTGCCCACAGTCAGCCATTGCCGAATTGGATCCATCACGGGTGGCTGATCGAGACACGATGAAGGGACATTTCAATCTTTCGCATCAAATTTGCAATGTAAGTAATTATTTATTTGCAAAATGCAAGAAACTATTTTATCTTTGATTTAGCTCCATAAAATGTTGCTCTCGTTGGATCGCAGTGAATATGATGATGATGTGCCTCAAGAAGAACAGCAAGCTGAACAGGATGTAAATGTTTAAACAGAACTTATAAAAACAATACGGGTTTTTTTTATTTTTTTCGTCTACATTTATGTGAAGTCCTTATGAGTTTTTTGTATGAACAATGTGTAAAATTGTTCTTGATCTCACTTTTTTTTATCGCATAGGTGCTGCTCTTGTGCAACTTTTGTATTTTTCTTGGAAGTGTAGGTGTTCATTTTTGTAAATTACTCGCCCTAGTCATTACTTTCTTTTTTGCCTTCTCACCAATCGATGTCCACACTTAGATTTAGTTTTAGATCAGAGAACTGTCGCATTCTTTTGTGCTTCATCTCAGGAATTTCTCTGTTTGCCTAAATTTGAGCGCACTTTTCAGCCTCTAAACAGGCATCTTGTTTTGTTTTTTGTATGACGATCTTTGAGCGTGATTTCCAAGGATCCCACTTTGTGTTTATGTGAAATTGTTGCTTTGAAATATCCTGCAATTTCTCATTTGTAATCAGATATGTTTTTTGTTGTCCATTTACATAGAAATAAACTTTGTTGGTTTGTTTGCGAGACAAGGCATGAAAGTAGAGCGAAAAACAAATGCAAATTATCATGTACAAAGCACCGATTCGAGATGAACACTAGATATGAGACCGTAGGAAAATGTATCTTTTGTCTGCTGAAAGTGAATCGAACTTTTCGTTTATTCATCTTATTTCATGGTTGGAACTTAATGAACTTTAGAGAAAAGGAACCAAATTTGTAGAGAAAAGGATTTCTCAGCTTTTTAAGCTCTGAGCTTTTGGAAGGCTCCGAAGGGCGGTTAAAAATGGAAATTTTGTACCAACTAAGCAAGCGTAATTTTCTTACGATGGTTGATGTAAATTCCCTAACTGGTAAGAAGTTAAAGGAATGTTTTCAAAAAGTAGTCTCGACTCGTATAATTTATTTATACTTGACAGATGTTTCACTTAATTGATTTATAGTAATATTTGAAGTCAATTATTTCGGTGTATTGCATTTGATGCATTTGATTCGATTGTTGGATCAATTTAAAATTTGAAATTTATTGAAATGATAGCAATAAATTGAAATGATAACATTTAAAAACTATAATTTGCTACCATTTCTACTTTAATTTTTGTAGAATATGTTTTTTATGATTTCCGAATTATTTTGTCTGTTGAAAGTGAATCGAACTTTTCGTTTATTCATCTTATTTCATCGTTGGAGCTTAATGAACTTTGAATGGGCGAATATTAAACTTTATAATATACAGGGTGCGTCATAATTATTGCAACAAGATACTCAAGGCATTGCACACCAAGAAGTTTCTCCCGTTCTCGAGATGAAAGTTGCGTACAGACAGACAGAGAGACAGACGGACACTCCTCTTTTATATATAGTAGATTTATTAATAGTTGATCTCTCAATCAATCGATTTCCCCATCACCATGCCTCTTCAAAAATCCTGATCAAATCAATAACCCAAAATTGTTCAACTTCATTTTGTCCGTCGGCACAAGTTGCCTCTTCTTCTCCCCCTTAGCCAGCAGATGTCGAATAATGCCCGAATCGTATCAATCGATAGCGATATAAAAGGAAAGATTAAAGGAGAATTCATTTCTCTTTACTTTTCACTTTCAAAACCTTTTCTTTTTACCTATTTTTCAATTTAGATTCACAAATCTTCAGATTTGTTCTGGAAATGTCTCTTTTCGAGCTAGCTTTCTCCTTCTTGAACTGCACTCGTTGCGGCAAGTTCTGTAAGTTTTCAAAATGAAGCATTGAACTGAAATTTAACAAAAGACTGAAATCTGAACTGAAATTGAAATGAAATTGAACTGAAATTGAAATCCATTCACCAATTTTACCCTTTTGATTTCAGTCGGCTACAACGAGAAGGTGCTCTCCTGTGAGAATCGGTGGAATCGCAACTGCTTCGATCACGAGGCCGTTTGTGGAAAGTGCATGTGAGTGACTCTTTCATATCAATAAGTCACTTTTGAACAAGAAAGCCAAAAGCTATTAAGCCAAAAGTACTTGACTAATAAGTTTAGGCTATTAGTTACAGCAGTAGTTGTTTGCTTTACTATTCAAATTTTCCAGCCATGACCATGCCGAAGCGATCCACGTCATGGACAAGCAGCACTACATCACCGAATTCATCGCTCGTCGTCACGACATTGAGGGTGAGTGAGAAGGGGAGAGAATGTTTCTGCAATAGAAAGAGTTCACTTTTCAATCAAGTATTCGACTCAAAATCAATTGCTAGATCTGCATTAAGCTTGTCAGAACGGGCTAAAGCACAGAAAACATTATATACAAAGTAAAAGTTTCTAAAGTTTAGAAAAGACCCGTGATTTCATCGACAAGATGGAGACGAAATTCTTTGATGGATCGATTGATCGTGTGATGCCCGAGGCCGAGGCGAGCAAGGCCGAACCTGCGGTGAGTTGGGCTGATCCATAAGGAACAAATCAAGGTCTTTGAGTTTGTAAACTGACAAGAGAAGACAAATCTGACAAGGGAACGTTCAGCCTTTTCTGCTCGAGCCTTTTCCGCTCGAGCCTTTTCCGCTCGAGCCTTTTCTGCTCGAGCCTTTTCTTCCAGCACAGTAGAGATTTAAGGGCACTTTGAGAAAATATGTTAAATGAAACAATGAAAAATAACTTGTTTCCGACGAATCCTTTATTGCCCATTGAACTAGTTTCAGAAAATAAGTACCTATCTCTTAAACACCCACTTTTCATTGGTGAAATTCTCCCTGGCGATCACTTATCGCTTTTAGGTTGACGGTGAACGTCTGCTGCTGACCGAGTCGACTGATTCTCCAAAAGTGAGAGAAGTCGAGCTAAAAGATACCACACTCGAGGTCCTCAAACGTCTTTTAGAGTAAGTGGAAAAAGTGGAAATGCTTATAAAACAATTTTAGCTACATCTATTCATCGAAATTATCACTCGTGCACATGAAGGAAGAGCTGGTGATCGAGGTGCTCGGATTGGCGAACAAATACGGCTTCGTTGACCTCGTTGAAGCGATCGTTGACCATTTGAAGGTGAACTTTGAAAAGATAAATCTCTTCTTTGTAAATAGTAGAATAATTTCTACAACATTAGACTTTTTAGTCAATCATTCACAACTCGAATCTCTGCAATATTTTCAACATTTCCCTGCAATGTGTGCTCACCTCGTTGACCGATTTCTGTTTAGAGTATGCGGATCGGAATGCCGAATTGGTGCTGAGAAGTGAGGTTTGTCGGAAGCACAAACTGGCGCTAAGTTTGTAAAATAGGGAATGAATCTCTAGATTTACCAAATTTCAAGCACCATATGAAACAATAACTTCATTTCAGGGTTTTCTGCAACTTTCCGAGAATGCCGTGCAGCAGTTGATCTCTCGGGACTCGTTTTGCGCAAAAGAGATCGATATTTTCCAAGCGGTCGGCGAATGGATCAAGGCTAATTCATTGGTGAGTACAGAAGTTATACCAAATGCCTCTCTACATCGTAGTTTGCCGCTTGGCCGACTGGCTAAGAGTCCTATATCTTACAAGGGAACGTTCAGAACTGACCGTGACATTTCGGCACGAAACTTGGCACAAAGGTAAATCGATTACGAGGATTCCAAATCTGGAATTCGTTTTTGCTGACGGGCCTTGGTTTTCGAGAGATAAGCTTGCAAAGTTTTGACAAATTTGACAAATTTCGCCAAACTGCCGCTTTGCCTATAAAACGGCAACACAACGAAGAGAAACAAGAGCACCGGTGTTCTAGTGGATAGTGCGCTGGTCTACGAACTCAGGCACAAAGTTTCGTGCCGAAATGTCACGGTCGCTTCTGAACGTTCCCTTGTTAGTCGGAGGGTTAAGGGTTCAATCCCGCCGGCTAGTTTATTCGTTCTTTTTTCCATATATATATGGTTTTTTTCTTTCTTACATTTAAGGGTTAGAGGTTGTGCTTGTGTGTTGTTGTTGTTGTTGTTGTTTGTTTGTTTGTTTGTTTGTTTGTTTGTTTGTGTATTGTTTGTACCACATTATTCGTGTAAATAAATGCATTTTTAACTTGTATTAATAATATTGTATTAATGTATTAAATGTATTAAATTAATAATTAATAATGTATTAAAATAAATTAATAATGTATTAAATGTAATTTCCATAAACATAGTTCTTCAGGAAAATGGTCAAAAGCTGCTCAACGAGGTCCGATTGCCGTTGATCTCTTTGCGAGACCTTTTGGGATCGGTATTTCAAAATTTAGACCTAAATTTGGACATTTTTAGATCCGTCCAACAAAGCTACTCTCACCGGATGCTATTCTCGACGCGATTCAAGAACAACAGCAGACAAAATCGGCTCATTTGATGCACAGAGCTGTGATTGGTAAGGGATCGATCAAAACAAACACATTGATCGATTGTTTTATGATCCTTTTTAGTTCTTAACGTTTTCAAAAAAATGTTTCTCGTTCAGTACCAAATGTGAACATTGTCACCACCTCACGAGGAGCCCAGGTGATCACCGGCGAGTTCAAACACGCCGATGTCATGCAATATAAGGTGGGAGATTTGAAAGTATGAATTCTAGCTAAGCACCGAACTTTTCTAAATTGAAGCTGCAATTTAAGGGTGAACGAGGGCACACGCAACACTTGATCACTCAAGAACCCGCCGACAAAGAGCCGGGAATCGTCATTGAGGTTCCTGAGCTAAACTTTTTTCTTACTACTTTCACTTTTTCAGCTCGGCAAACTATACATGATCAACAAAATCGTGATGTCGTTGTACGAGAGGAACGCAAACTGCTGGTACTCGTATTTCATCGAGGTAAAACATCAGTTGCTGACAGATTCCTAGTAGACATGGGAAAATGCCAACCCGAGCCTAATTCCACCTTCGTTTTCTCAGCCGTCTCTTGGCCGATTGTTCTGGAATTTTGTTCACGAATAGAAATTGGCATTCTCTATTTGTTTACAAAATTTCAGAGCAATCGGCCAAGAGATGGCTGAGAAAACGAAGGTGGAATTAGGTTCGGGTTGGAATTTC